AACATGACACATGACAACACTTTCCTTAATTGCAACGTGAAGTTGATAAAACTAAAGTTGAGAAAACTTCTTTTGCAATAATGATTTTCCGCAGAGATTTTCGGTATGAAAGTTGAGAAATCGGTACAAACTCAAAATGATCCAATGGTAATGAAAATGATATCCTCTTGCTTGGAATACATCATCGATCACGAACATATGTTTTTTAGACAGAAAATGGTTGAGAAAGCAGATCAGAAATGGATTTTCGATACTTATGCCCTGTTCATCAATGTTGTTGTTGATCGATCGCACAGATGACTCTGATACCAAATGTGAGTCCCTGATCTATCAGCTATGGATGCACAACAATTTGAAACAGATTAAACACACAATAGAGAGAAGAAAACTCGATAAGACCATTTGGAGTGGTGTGAGAGTCTAAATGTTAAAAATGAACTCAGTCCATATGAAAACAATGTTTTGACTCTTATTTCTCTGCATTCCAGCACCGTCAATAAAATACACTCTGCGCATTTTTTTACATATCAATTTAGTAAAACATTAATCAAATTATTATAAGTAATATTTTCCCTTTAATTTTTTCTCCGATTAATTATAAAATAAAAAGACATATTTCGATATAAAAATAAATAAATTTCATTATTTTTTTTTTTTACGTTTCTCGGTTAACAAAAAATGAACTTATTTCATGTAAAGTTAGATTATGAAATATTCGCTTATTTGTGAAGGTTGCATGAATTAAAAAAATGTGTTATATGATTTTTTAGGCTCAAAAAAACTTCAACAGTTAAAATTTCAAAAAACAAATCCATTTTATATACTCCATATTACATATTGGTGTCATATGAAAGATTATAAAAATTCATGAATTTTGATATATTTTTTGAAAAATGTGGAGAACAAATTAAAAAGTTACAAAAGATTAAAAGTTTTTAGGATTATAGTGACATCAGTATGACATCACTGTGGCATCAGCGGAATGCATAACCTATGCACAAGGCGGCCTACTTTTTTTCTTTTCTTTTCTTTTTCCTTTTCTTTTCCCCTGTCAATCCTCCCTCTATTTTTAGAACCCTCCATCCACTTACCCACTTTTACTACCCTCTATAACACAACACTAAATGAAATTAGGAGTCCAAATACCTCACCACTCCAAGTGGTCTAATAAACGATTAAGAATGATATAGCATTGATTGCGAGGATCATTCTCTCTAGAGTCTCTCTCTCCATGCGGCTATTGTCTCTCAAGTGAATGTTCTGATTGACGTTTCACATCTCTGTGTTGCACGCGAACCTAAAAGATAATTTATACCTGGGCAATTGTGCAAAAAATGGGTAAAAGAGATTGGGCCCTAACATGGTAACCCAAACTCATTTAAAGCTAATCCGCATTGTTATATTAGGGGAGGAGATCACATACAAACCACTCTTCCGGTGCAAAATGGCATCCACCGTAGTAGTATGTGGGTTGAAAAACATGGAATAACAACCTTTTGACCCACTACTATGCAACCGTTAGTGGAAAAGCCTACAAAGGTAATTTTACATTCAATAAATTGGGCGGCCATATGGAAAACGGAAAGTAAATGGTAGTAAATCTCATGAGTTACGCTATCTTCTTACCATTACTATTTTAACTGCCCAATATTAGAAAAATTAAAAAAAAGGAAAGTTTCAAATTTTCTATTACGCGGTTCCGGAGGGTTCTAGACGAGATTTTTTTTAATACGATAAGAGTGTATGTTTTAGTTGACTTCTTATTGATATGCAAATTATATAGTAGTTGGGTTGAATAATTTTAAATTAAAAATTGGAGTTCCAATGTATTTTTTTATTGAATTTTGGAAGAGGGGAAACCCTTATATGCGATTTTGATCTAAATAGCGAGTGAGACCGGACAGGTTGCAAAGTGATGGTAACTGATATGCACTATTGGGGGGAGTTCAGTTCAATAGTTTATATAACAAAAGATTCAATTTTTTATGTAATTTTGATTGGATATCACTTAGAAGAGATATTGGACTATGCATTTCATAACATATAACAATGTATTATTGTGATATATAAGGTGCATATTATTATATTAACAAAATTGAAAAATGAACTCAATTGTCATGTTGATGAACATATGGAAATAATATGCATATAAATGCATTGGAAAATGCATTTGATCGATTGTAATATAATGCAATCTATAATGAAGAATGGGTGATAGTAAAACACACTTTGAGAAGAGATATTGGATTATGCAATTCATAGCATATGACGATGCATTATTGTGATATATAAGGTGCATATTGTATTAACAAAATTGTAAATTTAACACAATTGTCATGTTGATGAACATATGGAAATAGTACGCATATAAATGCATTGGATAATGCATTCGATTGTGATATATAGTGCAATCATAATGAAGAATGGGTCATGGTAAAACACACTTTGAGAAGACATATTGGACTATGCATTTCATAGTATATGACGATGCATTATTGTGATATATAAGGCGCATGTCGTATTAGCAAGATTGAAAGTTGAACACAATTGTCATGTTGATGAACATATGGAAATAGTATGCATATAAATGCATCGGAAAATGCATTTGATTGTGATATATAGTGCAAACTATAATGAAGAATGAGTGATAGTAAAATACACTTTGAGAAGTAATATTGGACTATGCATTTCATAGCACATGGCGATGCATTATTGTGATATATAAGGTGCATATTGTATTAACAAAGAAAACAATCGTCATGTTGATTCTGATATATAGTGCAAGTAAATGATTCTGATATATATTGCATTTCATACTATATTGAAGAATGGGTACTAGTAAAGTGGCTGGTAATGAATCAAATGTGCATACACAATATAAAACGGTGAAATACAATAAACAAAAAGTAGAATTAAATTCATTTTTCAAAATGCTTCACAATGTACATACCGATACATAAGAAAATTTTAACAATAACATAACTAAAGAACTACATTGATATTATGGAATTCTATTCTTTCAGGGATGCACATTTCACGATCTGCAGAGCCTTTTAAAATGTTTCAATTCTTCAATAGACAACTCCTTGGTAAACTTGATCATGAGACCATAATCGTTATTTCAAACCTATGAACAACTGTGAAAACAGAAGAACCGTGAGAGGGTGATTCTAGAATTACATCATCATTTCATGTGACACTTATACTGCCACACAATTATACTACTACTTACACAATAAAAAGCACTACAGTCAACCATGAACTTATTATTTTACCAAATGCACCTTTGTTCGAATATCATTGCATATTAATATAAATAGTACACAGGCAAGATTTTTTTTTGTAAAACGGGAAAAATTTAAAAAAAATGAAATATTAACCAAATTCACATTAACAAAAGTTAAGCTTGACGAAAATCATAATTTTAGAACACTAAATACATAAACTAAAACCACAACAATGAAGCGAAGTAACACAACATTATCAATTCAACACTTGGCGGTAAATTTTAATGTTGGGAAGGCACACAAGATTATATGTTTTATGTTGATCAAACAAATTAAAAAAACATTTTACATCCAAATCCAAACTTATATGTGAGAAGAGATTATATAAAGAGAGTTCATAAAATGAGGGGTGAATACAAGATTCGATATTTCCATCATGTTCTATGAATCTATGATAGTGATTGTGATGGCCATGAAATGAATTACCAGAGCACAATGATCAAGGCAGAGATGAAGAAAAGCTTTGAGATGAAATTCACGTCGTATATTGACCTACAAAAATGAAATAAGTGGTGATGATTGAGAATAAGGGAAAGTTCATGATGTGATTTAATTTCCATTAATATATCTATGTAAATGACTAAAACCCCCTCGACTACCCTGAAGTTGTTGTCTTCTAACTCCAACAACCGCACGGTTATGTAATTAAATTGGAGGGCTAGGATTAGTTTGTATTTTGTAAGTTAGGAGGAGTTTGTATATGATCCTTAATCGTTACATTAGATATTTAAACAGTTGTACTCTAATAAATGTACAACACAAGGATAAAATAGAACAAAATTGATCACAATAAAATTTCCTTAACGTGGATTCTTTTGCAAACAAAGTTTGTATTATTGAGGGACTAGCTATTTTCATTTGTTATTAGGAACCATCCTATTTTAACTGTTAGCCTTGAGTTTTTTTAGTACATCTGGAAAGATGTACATCCATAACCTTGAGTTATGTACTCCACAGTTGTGTTTGTTCTTGTTATTTTTGCCCATAATTAGTGATTTGCTTGTTATATGCGGGGAGTACTACTTATAATTGTTAGTGGTTGAGGTTTGTGCAGTGAAGAAAGGAATAATAGAAACCACAAAATAATTAGTCCCTCCGGTTTTTAATAAACTTCACACTTTTCTTTTTGGGACGGTCTAAAATAAACTTCACACTTCCTTATTTCCTTTTTTAACAAAGAAATCTACATCAAAACAGTGTCAAACAGTGCCAAACAGTGCCAAACAGTGTCTCAACAGTGCCAAACAGTGTCAAACAGTGCCTCAACAGTGTACTCTACAGTAAAGTCAAATTTCTTTCCTTATTTTGTGTGAAGTCAAAGTGTGAAGATTAAATAAAACCGGAGGGAGTAATTGATAAACTTTGACGGAGGAAGTACGAGTAAGGGTCTGTTTGCAATAGCTTCTGCTTTTAAAAAAGTGCTTTTTTAAATGAAATGGGGATAAGTGATTAAATAAAAGTTGATAGTGTTTGAGAAAAAAGTGATTTTGAAAAGTAAAAGTGGGTAGTGTTTGGTAAAATAAGTGTTTTTTGTGTAATGAAAAAGTAAAAGCACTTTTGACGCGGAAGCCGAGAAAAATAAAAGTTGTAGTGTTTGGGAAAATAAGTGCTTTTTTAAAAGCAGTTGCAAACCAACCCTAATTAAGATTTGTTACTGGACCAATAACTTTCTTCAAACCGCCCAGGGGACCCTGTTTCAAATTTTCAATGCCTCTACCGGTCCCAGTAGACATCCTCTCCGACTCCGACGATGATCGCCGCAGCTCAGGCAACGTCCGCCGTCGGCACGACACCATCGACCTCTCGACCCCCCTGGCAGTCACCCGCAAAAAGCAAAGGGTCGATTCGAGCCCCACTGTTTTAGTCATCGATGATGACCAGACCCCGGAGAAGCATGCTCTGGGTCCCACCTCATCCGCCTCCATTCTTTCCATTGTGCCCGAGACACCGTTCTCCGACTTCTCGAAACCCGATTTTGCCACTGTGAAATTCTCCAATTTCTCATCTTCAATTTCAAACCCCACCTCCCCAGGTCAGTTTCATATGGTTATTCTCGCTTGCTCGAAAAGTTGTGTTCAATGTTATGTGTTTTATGTACACCATTTAAAGTAATGCCGCCTGTAATTATGACTAAGATACCATTTTAAGAAGCCAAGCTTGATATCTCGCTGTTTTGTTTGAGTTTTTCGTGGAAATGATCACTTCTATGAATCTATCTATACTGTTGAAACCTCACAAATGTTTAGCGCGTTATCATCCAACAGACCAAAGCTAATTTGCACCTTTATTAATCAGAGCTCCAGTATTAATCCATAAGCAAGTTTCTGTTTACTAAATATGTTCAGTACATTCCAATTTTATCGGATGTCCCCGAAGGGACAAATATGTTCAGTAATTTTCAGTGTTTTTCAATGGTACAATCTTATTCTGATCCCATAAAAGATCCTTTTCCTTTTCACCATTTTGCAAGGTTTGTTATTCGGTATGAAATATTGATAGCTTAAAGTACTCAACTATTCACTTGCTATGGTTATGGTTTAGGACTATCTTTTGTTGAAGAGACACCAATATCTGATAAATCAAGACTTGACATCTCAATGGATGAATGCACAAAGGGCATTGAGGGCCCTAAAAGCATTGCCACTCCTTTCACGAACAATTACAAGAATTCAGGTTGATGTTGTTTGTCACACGCTTGTGGAACTTAAATATTGAACTAGACAATTAGTTGCTTCCATCAATTTAGTATTTTTATATATGCATCTATTTATTTGGTTTACACTTTTGGTGAAAAATGGCACCAAAAGTACTAGGCTATTAATTAATATTACCATCTGGTTTTTCAGTAAAGGTATGTAATTGAGTGAAAGAAATCTAATTCGAGTGACTTGAAAAATGTGACATTATATAGTACCACTTTTTATTATTTTTATGGGACATGCATTTATGGTATGATAAAAATAGTCATAAGATCTAAGTAGTTAAATCGTTACTTGGTAGTAGCTCCGACAAGGGCCGAGTAGCTAGTAGGACCGAGAACCCGGGACTACTCGGCCCTCTATTATTTAAATTTAAAAATAAAATACTCAAAATTCTAGTAATATATATTTGTCTTATAATTCTGTGATATGAATAAAATAGCAATAATCTGAATGATTAAGTAGCAAAAGTCATAATCATTCTAAGTTTTCAAGAAAATCAGTCATCTAACTTGTATAGTTGTATGAGCTGATCTGTGAAATGCTTTTAAACCTAGACTGACTCTGTGATGTTATTTTCCAATTTTCAAAATACCCACTTGTTATATATAAATCCATAGTATGATAGTATCCACTTTAATTTAAAATTTTCAGATTTAACTAAAACACATTTAGTGGTTGTCGTGTAACTCGCCGAGTCAAAATTGTCACCGAGTTAAGAAACTTGCCAAGTACTCGGCAAGTAACTCGGAAAAACAGAACGGGTTGAGTCAGAGTGCTAACTGGAATGGCTACCCCCCAGGTGTTAGTACTCGGCGAGTAGATAACAGTCATTACCCAGCATATGATAATCACCCACTGAATATCTGTCGTCGAATAATGTCACCTAATAATGCCTTATTTTTAAATGTCGCTACAATTGATTTTAATATTGGATACAAAATGTACTTTAAGTGCACATTAATGCCAGATACAAACAAACGCTGCATGTGCTATGAAAATTGGGCCTTATAAGAGGCCTTCATGCAATTCGGCACAAGTTGCTGTACAAGTTTAGAGTAAACCACCTGCCCAAGGCGGCAAGGTAACCAACGCTAAAACCTCTCTGTTCAGCCAGTCCCGAGAGAATATATATTTTCCTCAGAAATGATCACATGTACTAATCTATATTACTGACAATGTACAAATTTTTAGCTTATCATGATCCAACAGTCCAAAAGTAATGTGGATATGTTCTTTATTAGTCAGAACTCAAGGTCAAAATCTTCAACTGCAAGCATACCAAATGTGATCAGTATCTTCTAATACTTCTACATAGTCTAATTTCATTTTGATCCTCAAAAGGGTCCTTTTTCTTAACGTATTGGCAGTATGTTGTTGGTTAACAAATAATCTGTATTTATAATATTGATAACCTAGAAGAATCATCTGCCATGTTCATGATTTAGGACCATCTTTTGTTGACGAGACAGATCAGAAATCAAGATTCGATTTTTTGATGGAAAAATGCACAAAAAGCATTGGGAGTCCTCAAAACCGAACCTCCCCTCTCACGAACAATTATAAGAGTTCAGGTTGGTGTGGTTTGTCACATGCCTTCGGACCTTAACGACTGAATTTGGTTTTCCATTATCTCAATTTTGATATGTGCACCTATGTTTGTTGTTTTCACTTTGATGCAACATTTTTTTCTAATGGTGTAAGAAATAGACTCCGGAGACGACAGATACTCAGTTGAATTATATCATTAGACTATTAATTAATATGTTCTCTCTAGTTTTACAGCATATATATGCTATACTCTATAGAATGAAAACATTATAATCTTGGGGACATGAAAATTGACATTATTAAATAACATTCTTACTTGACATACATTTATTGCGCGATGAAAATAGTCATATGATAATCAGCCAGTGAATATTTTCCATGGAAGAATGTCACCCAATAATGTCTTACTTTTAACTATTATTAAATTGATTATTGATGTCAACATGAGATACAATTTGTCCTCCGATTTTGATTAGTGCCAGATACAATTCTGCTTGGCCTATTTATAGCAGGCCTATGTAAAATTCGGCACAATTTGCCATACCAGTTTAGGGTAAACCGTCCCGCCCCAGGGAATCAAATCGCTAAAATCTCATTTCAGTGTCTCATCCAGTCCAAAGAGAAACCATATGCTTTCCTCGGGACTGATCACATGTATTCATCAATATTAGTTTCAATGCACAACTTTTTAGGTTGTGATCTTGACCTATTCTTTATTAATCAGAATTCAAGGTCATAATCTTCAATCTTCATCCTTAAGTTTACTAAGGGGGTGTTTGCGATTGCTTCTACTTTAAAAAAGTGATTTTTTGAAGTTATTTTAGAGAAAGTGCTTAATAGTAAAAGTTAGTAGTGTTTTGAGAAAAAAATGCTTTTGAAAACGTAAAAGTTAGTTGTATTTGAGAAAAAAATGCTTTTGAAAACGCAAAAGTTGGTAGTGTTTGATAAAATAAGTGATTTTTGTGTAATAGAAAAAGTGAAAAGCACTTTAAAGCACCTCTCAACCTACTTCCAGTTTTAGCTTTTAGGTGCTTATTTTTGTAGAAGCTTTAACTTGAAAACACTCATTTCAGCTTTTTTAAGCCAGAAGCTGAAAAGCACTTTTTTTAATCTCTTGCAAACACTCCCTAAATGTGATCAATATTTTCTGATGCTTCTCAATAGTCAAATTCTCATTCTGATCCTTAAAGAAGGTTTTTTTTCTTAACATCATCTTGTAAGTATGTTGTTGGTTAATAATTGATCTGTATTTATAACATAAAAGCATTCATTTTCTATGTTAATGATCTAGGACCATCTTTCCCCGAGGAGACACTTGAGAAATCAATATCCGATTTTTCGATGGACAAACACTCAAAAGGCATTGAGGATCCTCAAAACCTAACCTCTCCAGTGACAAACATTTATAAGAGTTCAGGTTGGTAGATTTATCACACACTTGACTGTTTATAACTTGTTCCCTCTGGTTTTTCACATAGACATGTGATAAAATGAAAGAATTGGAATTTGGTAGACATCAAAATGTGACACTATTTAGCAACACACGAACGTGACATGCATTTATTGTGTGAAGAAAACTAGTCATATGATTATTACCCACAGACTATCTGCGTAAGAAGAATGTCACCTAAGAATGTCCTAATCTGAAGTCTCCTAATAATTAATGTTAATGTTGGATATAATTTGTACTTTAATTGTGCATTGGTGCCAGATACATACCAATTATTTATGTGCTATGAAATTTGGGCCTTATATTGGACCTATATGCGATCCGGCAAAAGCTAGTATACCAGCTTAGGGTAAACCATCTCACCCCAGGGCAATTAAAGCTCTAAAACCTCATTTCAGTTTCCAATCCAGTCCCGCTAAACATCCTCTTTCTTCATCCAGTCCTAAGAGAAGCCATATGTTTGTTTAGAAATGATCACATGACTTAATGAGTATTGCTTGAATGGACACATGTTTAGCACTTTAGCATATTAAGATAGGACACTCCAATAGTAATCTGGACTTGTTTTTTCATTTTATCAGAATTCGAGATCATAATCTATGATCTTGAGTCATTAGTATTTTCTGATGTTTCCCAATATTTAATCCCATTCTGGCTGCTAAAAAGGTCCATTCTCTTAACACCTTCATGCAAGTTAATTGTGGTTTAAGAAAAACTTAGTATTGATAACATAAAATTATTCACTTGCTATGCTGATTAGGACCATCTTTTGCTGAGGAGACACCTGTATCTGAGATATCAAGATTCAATTTTTCAATGGCCAAATGCACAAAGGGCAATGAGGGCCCACAAAACCTGATGTGTTCTGTCATGAATAATTACAAAAGTTCAGGTGATTCTGGTTGGTTACACGGTTGTGGATTTTAACAATTGAATTTCTTGTTTCCATTTTCTCAATATGTTTTTAATAAATCATATGAATGGCACAAGTGATGTGTGCCATAAATCAACAAAATCCAAGCCTTAATCCCAAAAGATTTTGGGGTTGGCTAACATGAATCGAACCATGATATCAGTGCCAAAAAAGAATACCGGCAAGAAAAAAAGTAAGATAAAATAGATAAGCTCAAGATAAATATAAGATAACAAAGGAAAAGGTGCAAATAGGCCCATGTACTAACCAAAAAAGGTCAAATAAGCCCTTATTTAGGAGGCTCTGTCCGGTCATCGTCATTTGGGGTGGTTCTCGGTGGATTTTTTTGATGAAATTTTTTGAGCATCTTATTCATCAAGTCTAGTTTACTCATACCAAATTTCAGCTAAAACTTCAATCGGGAAGGCATTCAAATGAATTCTTGAAAATAATTGCGCAGTTGGTGAAGTTTTGCTAGACATAAATTACAAGGGAGAAACATGTTTTGCTTCTTAAGGGTCACCTCTCCGCTAAATGTATTTAAATGTAAATTAGAAGTTTCTTTGTTTTCTGAATTACATTTTCAATAAGCAGTGAATAGCCTTTTGCTGAGGCTTTGTAAAAAATCAAAACTCAATTAGATGTGTTCTTTTGGTAAGTTATGAATTCATTCTCCTTAATTTTATTTTTATTTGTGTCAGGAACTGACCAGCTGATCTGTGTAGATTCTGATAGTGACTCTGACAGTGGTAGTAAGCTTGGATCTCAGAAATGTAACGACCGGGTTGGTTTTACTGTTGAAGTTGAAGGTGGAGCAGAATTGAGCTCTCAAATCATTCGGTCCACATGTTTTCGAGGTAAGATCCTGTTTTGTGTAGTATGTAATGCCATAGAAAAGTGGCGATTAGTATCCACTCTCGGATGAATCAGATCATTTCATTGAAATGTAGACCTTTGTAATACAGGTAGTACTGATGCCTCACAAGTATCAGATATTAATTCTCAGCCAACTGCATTTCAAAATGACATCCTTTTGGTATGCTATCTTGGCTTGATAAATGTCATGCTTTTATTTTGTTCACACTCTGTTCACTGTCTGTATACTTTCATTCTAGTGTAATTTATACTACCTTACTACCACTGTCCTGGCTGAAGGATTTCATTGTAAAATAGCACAATTATTTACACAATAATTAAATAAGGTAATCTTAGCATACTCTGAGAACTAGTTTTGATAGGTGTATAGTATAATGGGGTCATTGAATATAATTGTGATGTTATAAATGTATTATTATTAATATTTGATGATTAAATTGTCATTTAAGAGTGCTAATTATTTCCTGAAATAGAAATGAGAATCTTTAGCTGGGGCGTCCAAAAAGAGGCAAGTGAGAGCCTCAAATTGGGACACAAGGATTACTCTTTATTTGATAAAGATATAGCTGTAGTAAGTTGTCACTTCGATGCCAAATCCATGAACCACAAGAGAGAACCTAGGGTGAAGATCTGATATCATAAATTATCTCCTTTATGTGCTACAATTGCTAAAGTCAAAGCTGATAACTTTTATAATAATGTCTGTTATAATCATCAAATTCAATGTTCTTGGATTTCTTAAGGAACTTACGCTGTTGGGTCTTTTGGGAGTCAAGGTGTTGGACAACAATTTTTTAGACTGGCGATGGCAAGCTCTTCGGGTTACCACCATTCAGAGCAATTGAGCTTTTGTTCTTCTGTTTTCTTTCATTAGCTTTTTTTAATTATCTTTTTTAACTTTTACATCTTTAACTTTCTTCTATCATTTGCGTTTGTTCTTTTCAAATAAAGACATTAATAAAAATTGGTAAGAGGTACCCAGCTCTTACCTCACCGAGTTCGGTGGATTTCTGGGTTAAAAAAAAAAGATTGAACCTTTCATCTCATTGCCCCTCCAGTGCAGCCCCAAGGCATGTAGAGAGGAGACAAGTTGCCATACTGAGTGGTTGTTGAATGGGAGGCCAAATCTCTATGTATGAACCTAATTAGACCTTTACTCTTGTTCCAAACTCCAAAGTTACCAGGTGCTGTGGAGTTTGGTGCAACAGGGGTTTTGATCCTGAGTGTGAAATGGTGATGGGGGTAGGGAATGACATAAGCCTGTTGTGAACAAAAAAAATAAAATCAATGGGGTAAACCGTTGCCCGATAATCAACGATAAATAAATACCGTTGCCCAGAGCCAAAAGGCTAAACCACTTTTATTCTAAGATGAGCAAGAATGAATCCTAACAAGGGGTTTAAGGGGGTGTTTGGAACTGATTCTGCTTCTGCTTCTTTTTTAAAGCAGAAGCAGAATCAGAATCAGTTTTCAGTTTTCAGAAGCTGGTCACCCCTAGCTTCTGAAAAAACTGATTCTAGGAGTAAATTAGAGCACCAAAATCACTTCTGCACTTTCACCCAAACACTACAGCTTCTACTTCTGCTCCCTGAAGGAGCAGAAGCAGTTTTAAGAATCAGATCCAAACACCCCCTAAATACTATCTACTAACTCTTAAACTAGGAAACAAAATCCTAGAGATCCTAATCAACTCCAACTAGGAAACAGAATAATAAAGATCCTAATCAACTTCAAATAGGAAAGAAATAATAGAAATCCTAATTAACTCCTAATAGGAAACACATATTAGAAATCCTAATTAACTCCAAAAGGAAACAAACCAGGAAAAATAAATAGAATAAATATTAATTAAACAGCCCGCAACCAGCCCACAAAGGTGGGCTCAAGCCCGTCCCGCCTTCGGTAAACCCACGGGGGCTTCTTCCAAGCCCAGATTCTGCTTCATATCAATTCCATCCCTCTTCGAAAAAACCTTGTCCTCAAGGTTGAAATCCGGAAACCGGATGACATTTGTTCCCGGTGGTTGCCCAGTATCTTTAGGAAAAATTGAGATGTACTCCTCCACAGTCCCTGTCTGCTTGCCTCCGGACAGTCGTTCAAAGTGTTTGCCCTTAAACCGTGAGTCATAACGAGCCATCGCCTGTGTAAGCTCATCCCATGACATGCTCGCCTTTCGTGTCCGTATCCAGTTCAACTGGTGTAGGGCTGACCCTTCCATCGCAACTACAGTGGCTGCCGCCTTCTTTTCCGGCAGAGTACAATTCAATTCGAACCGTTTCTCAGCCTTATCAACCCGGCTGATCGGTTCTACTTCGTTAAACGAAGGCAACATCGTGAGAAAGGAACTGCATAGTCCAATTCCGAACGAGGATGCTGCTGCCGCGTCGAGTGAAGTCACCACCGTTGAATGCTCCTCCGCGGTTGGCGGTGACTGAGTCTTTTTTAGCGCAGCCAAGGAGGAAGTGACGCTGTGCAGCTGTCCGTCGCCGCTGTGCGCAGATACGGTGGGGTTGCCAACCGTGTCCAAACTTGTTTCCGTCGTGACTGGCGGAACGAGCGCCTTGGTAAGCGCTGTCAGGGATGCGGCGATCTCTGCCAGACGCATGCCGTGCTCCTCTAGGGTTTGATTCATCCGAGTTTGCTTGACCACCATCTCTGACAAACGTTCACTGATAGATCTCGTCATTCCGACGGGACGGGATCCGGCAGGTCGGACCAATTGTTGTGAACAGAAAAAATAAAATCAATGGGGTAAACCGTTGCCCGATAATCAACGATAAATAAATACCGTTGCCCAGAGCCAAAAGGCTAAACCACTTTTATTCCAAGATGAGCAAGAATGAATCCTAACAAGGGGTTTAAATACCATCTACTAACTCTTAAACTAGGAAACAAAATCCTAGAGATCCTAATCAACTCCAACTAGGAAATAGAATAATAAAGATCCTAATCAACTTCAAATAGGAAAGAAATAATAGAAATCCTAATTAACTCCTAATAGGAAACACATATTAGAAATCCTAATTAACTCCAAAAAAAAACAAATCAGGAAAAATAAAAAGAATAAATATTAATTAAACAGCCCGCAACCAGCCCACGAAGGTGGGCTCAAGCCCGTCCCTCCTTCGGTAAACCCACGGGGGCTTCTTCCCCTCTTCTTCCAAGCCTAGATTCTGCTTCATATCAAAGCCGCTGGGCCACTAAGGCACTAACATATTTGTTTTCCATGTAGGTTTCTGTTGATGGGTAGTAAGTAGGATTTGAAGCTTGGACTTTGACTGGCGTTATGTCCTTATGTATTTAAGCTTATAGGCGGAATAGTTCTTGTATTTTAATGTCTCGCTAATTGAAACTTAAGGGACTTGGGGAGCACGGGCATAAAATAAAATCATGCAATGTATATCTAAGAAGGGGAAATGTGAGAGGACCAATTACGCTGTGACTTCTCCACCAACTGACTTGGTAATTTAAAAATTGCACAGCTTTTTATAATTGTAAATTTTATTATTCACATTGTTTCCTGAAGAAGTTTTGTATTTTGCATGTACTTTGTTACTCCATAGTAGAATTATTGATGTGATGATATACAGGATTATCAAGGGCCTTGTGAAAAAACTGACAGATTGGAGTCCTTTGAAAAGGTTACGAAACCAAATAGTAAAATCAGAGATAACTTAGGTAGAAAAAGTAAAGTTGATGAAGACAGAGAGAGAAAAAGGGCTTTGAAGGAAGAGAAGCTTCGTCTAAAGGAAGAAAAGAAACTTAAAAAAGAAGTAAGTTTTTGTCTGGATACTAATTTACTAGGGAGAGTGTTGGTTTTTTAGCACATGAACTAACTTGAGTTCATGGTGTAGCTAGAGAAAAAGCAGAAAGCCGCTCAGAAGGTTGAAGCTGTAGAGATGAAAAAGGCACAAAAAGAAATGCAGAAATGGGAAAAAGGAAAACATGCCCTGAAGTCCATTGTGGCACTCATTGATACAAGAGTAGTGGAACTAGGTCCAATAGGAGGTCATTGATTACTCTGTATCTTTTTCATCTCTTTATTGAAAGCCTTATATCATGATGTTTGTTGATTTTTCAATATCAATGTGCTACTCGTACTTGACCATCGCAACCATCTAAAGTCATTAATGCCACCCAATATTTTCTATATAACTAGAAAACACTAATGATCTCCATTTTGGAATTTCATCTCATTATCCTTCTTTGCATGAATTTGTTGTTGTAACTATTTTAGCAATTTTCTTGACAATAAAAGTTTCATGCTACTGACTTACTGAGTACTGACACTACATAATTGTGATTAACCGTGGTGATTGTGTTTATTTGAGTGAGCTCATTACCCACTAAATCATTCACTGTTTGTGGTTGCTTTCATATTTCAGGACATTTAATAACAAGACTTGCAGAGAAAGGTATTTCTTACCGAATAACATCAAATCCAATAGAAAAGTCTATTCTATGGACTATGAGCATTCCAGAAAAATTATCAGAGGTAACTTCATCTTCAAAATAGTCAAGATTTGGCTCATCCATATTGAACAACGCCATGTCGGCATCTCCTTTTTCAAATGCAGTTCTGCATATGACATTGCTAGCATGGAATCTTATGCTTCTTGCATGTCCTCCCCTTGCATTAGTTTCTGACATTATAAGTAAAAAATATTACATCCAGATCAGTATTTGAAGGTTCTTAATGGATTAGATTATTTAACGATCTCTTGGAGGCCAGATGTCTAGCGTGCTAGAGTAGAATATGGGACATGTTTATCTATTTTAAGCTTTTCCTTATAGAGATGATATTTGGTACACCCTCTGATCTAGACTTATCTTTAGAGCTCCTTTTGACATGATGCTTAACAAACAACAATAACAACATCCAAGCCTTAGTCTCAAAAGAGTTTGGGGTCAGCTAACATGAATCGACGTATGAAATCAGAGTTTAACTTTTGGCATGATGCTTTAGATTATAAAATTGTGTGGTCGAGTTCTATATAGAAAGGGGAGAAACAATATGAAATACCATTCATTTTTTTCTGAAAAGGGAAATTTAATGATAGTTTTGGGACATATAAAAAGGAAAGTGTAAAGTTCATTTCTGGACAGAGAGTAAAATTGGTAGTGTTGTGTTGGATTTGAACCTATAAAATCGCTTATATCGAAGAAAACATGCAAGAAATAAAATTTAGCTCTTGATTGTTGCGTCATTAAAAAAAATGAAAAATGTCTCTTGAAAATTCATGATATTCACATCGAGAGTTTGAGCCTCCCCCCATGAATAACTTCTTGAGGCTGCATTATGTGATCATGGCCATGTTAAAATATAAATGTTGCTGATAATATAGTGCTAATTGATGCTGCTTCCTTTGTTCTTTTCTGAATGTGATATTAGAAACCCAGACACTTGCTATTTGCTTATAAATATGGATCCTCTGTTTGCTGAAATTCTTATATCTCTTATTTGCTCTCTAAGCCCTGCCATCTTCATCATGAAGGTATTTTTAACACCATAGAGCTTATTTTATATGCTTCAGATTTCTTTTGAACCCGTCGACATTCGTTATGTGTTACTCTTATATGAGGCTGAAGAGTTCTGCAACCTTGTCTTGAATGGATCTCTCCTAAATCATGTTTCCAATGCACGGAGCCTTTTTCCATTGCATAAGCTCTGCTGTCTCACAAACAGGCTTACGGCTTATGTTAATAAAAGGTATTATGTACTATCTGTACTTGTTTAGTTGTTTTTTAGATAGGATTTTCTAACTTCCATCAGTTATGATACACTAATATATTGGGACTTTCTACATCTGTTTCATCATGTATATGACATTAAAATGATCGTTAGTGGTTCCTTCTCCTGTGTCTTGATTTCTTTAAGTGATATAAAAGAGTATAATTTTGGTGTACCTATCCTTATCTACCTCCAACCATGGCCCTGGTCATAGTTCTGTCTACTTGATTGAGATCAGGATGCAGGTTTCTGGTCAATATGACCAGAGAGAGAGAGAGAGATATCCCTTTCAATCTGCTGATGGAATAAGCAGTGACTCTGAATCCAATATTTGGTGCTTAACTGCTTATGTCATCAACTTATTGTACGAATTATCTTTTCTTCTGAAAGTGTCTGAACTCGATGAACCGACTTCATGAGATTGCTAATGATGTATTTATTATGTAATAGGGAGCAAAGCCATTACAAGGACCCTACCAATAATGCTGGTTGGAAACGTCCCCCTATTGAGGAGGTTTGGACAGCCCTTATTACAGACATGTATCGCAAATATATTTTATGTTACACTTCTAAAGATCAACTTTCATTGCAGGTTTTGGCAAAATTAACGACTCAGTTTGTGGATGTGCATTCAAGACAGTGTGCTGATGAAGCTGAAGTAGCAGACCATGTTGTGTGTTTAACATGTAATCTTGCATCTTGCCAATTTAGGTGCCTTGCTTGCTTAAGTGAATTGCTTTCTGTTTACGTTTTGAAAAACATTCAATAGTTGATGTGCTATGCTCACACTTCATATCATCTTAATATGGTTACTTAATCTTCTTGAAGAAATATGAATAGGGAGGATAAATTCAGTTCTCTTATCTGATATATGGTGTTCTCTGTTTTCATTCCAGAAAGAAGTTGTCTAGACTATCAATAAAGGCAAATGGATCCCTTATTCCCAAGGATTGTGTTGACAAAGATCTGATAAAGAATAGCACATGGTGAGCTCTTTCAACATAGTTGACGTCACAATGTCAAGTAGTCCAAATTATCTAGTGATGTCATCCCATTTGAACATATCCACAACAACAAAATGTGCAAAATTTTGATATACATCTAGGTGTCTTCCTTCAATGTTCTACCTTGAATCCATGTGTAGTCGATTCTTTGGTAAGAATTATTTAGTTGAAATGGCTGAATGATAGAGAGCAGGGAGGGGCGCAGGAAGCGGATCCGAGCCCCAGGCCCTTGTTGGTCTACCGTAGGTGGGGACGGGCTTGAGCCCAGCTTCGTGGGCTTGTTCTAGTTATTTTAATTATTCCTTTTATTTTGTTTCCTAATTTATTTTGTTTCCTAGTATGATTTAATTAGGACTTCTATTCTTATTAGAATGAGAGGTTTCCTATTTCTATTTAGTTTCCTAGAATGGTTTAATTAGGACTTCTATTCTTTTTAGAATTAGAGGTTTCCTATTCTATTTAGTTTTCTAGTATGGTTTAATTAGGATTCCTATTCTTGTTAAGACTTAGAGGTTTATTTAAACCCCTAAGAAGGACTGTTGGAATCATCAATTAATAATATTGGAGTTTTAGCTTTAAGCTTGGGAAAAAACGCTTTGGCCAAATAAGCAAGTCAAATGCTATTATGATTAATATACTGGTCAAAGAATTAGTTGATCTATTGATTAATATACCAAAGGGGCTTGATCACAATGTCAAATTTATAAGAGTCAAACCACTGACAACTTAGGCTACTTGAGCTATTGATTTAGAAGAGTTTCATGTTATCAGGATTTGATTGACCCCACTTGTGCAAAAAGCTGTCAGATATTTTGTCCCCTTGGTGGTAGTACGACTGATCCATACAAATTGATGCAGGTTGAAAGCACTCCTAGCGATTCCTAAGGTACAACCACGATTTGCCATCACCATTGGGAAGAAATATCCAACAATGAAATCTCTCTTGAGTGTATATATGGACCCTAATAAATCAGTATGCATCGAACTGTGTTTTTTTTTTAATTACGGATTATTTTCCTGGAGGTTGGATTGGAATGGTTGATGGTATGGATGATTTTCAGGTACATGAAAAGGAGTTTCTGCTTTCAGATCTGAGAATTGATGGTTTGTTTGGAGACAACAGAAGGTTAGGAGAGGTTTGTTCAAAGAGAGTGTACAGAATACTAATGGCTCAATCAGGAGGCATCAAAACTGATGATATTGAAAGCGGAGCTGATTTTTTTGCCACCCCAGTCGGCAGTGCTTCTCTGTCTTTGAAGTCGTCCAAAGTTGCATATTCTGACATTTGTGTATGAGTAGTTTGACACATTGAACATTTAGGACCCTACTGACCCTACTGTCCAACCTCATTTAACAATTTCAGAGGATGAACCGGCCAAACGAAACAAAAATATCTGAACAATGTAATTTTGTTTTTGTTTCAGTTTTTGTAAATGACATTAGAGATTAAACACAAAATAATTTATACTACCTGTGTTTTTGTAAATAAGATTTCCATATCAAGGATCTGGTTGGAATCGATAGATTGAGACTAGTTTTGCATAAATGAAAAGAAAATTCAGGTTTGTGGAAAATGAGTGCATCATCACCAATAATTTGTTGTTACCCAGCTTCTCATGCTAAATAGAGATCACTCTATTTACATTATAGGGGTGAACCGGTCTGGCCCGAATGCTGGCAGTCTTGGGTAGGGATGTCAAAAACACCCGACCCGCATTGACCCACCCTGGCCCGAGACATTTGGGGCGGGTCCGGTCCGGCCCGACTTCCAAATGGGGCGGGTCTGCCCCGCCCCGCCTATACAATGGGGCGGGTCCGGGTATTAGTATTGACCTGTGTCGCCCCGACCCGACCTGACCCGCTCAATACATAAGCATAAATACTTTTTCTTAAATTATACTACAAATATACTTCAACATACATGTGTGTATACTGTAAATCATAAATTCTTTGATCTTATAATATATTAATACATATATTAGAATGAGATGAACGACAGATTATCAATGTCTTCTTTATATATAGCATTTTAATACATATGTTCAATTATTAATATAATTAAATTGATTAACTATTCAAGTCTGAGTAATATTTCCTTAATTTTTGAAATTTTTAGGGTATCATGAATTTGATTTAATATATTAATTTTTAATTATTATTTAGAGATAAACTTTATGTAGATTCAATTGGTAACAACTAACCACAAATAAAAATACATACTATCTAATAAGGTTACGGCGGGGCGGGTCATGGGTCAACAAGTTTGGACCCGTGCAGGTCACGGGACGGGGCGAGTCTGGGTCTTACAGTACCCGCCCCGACCCATTGCCATGCCTAGTCTTGGGACCATCAGAAGACCAGTTTTCAGTCTTTGGTATAGACCAGAACCGGTTCCCCGGTCCCGGGTGCCCAAGAATGCCCAAATTCGCTGGTCCCGATATGATCCCTAACTGCTATTTAGCTTATTTTTTATTCTTTCTTCCTGTTTTCCTATTGGTTGGTCACCCAACGGCTCTTATGAAGGAATCCAACACCATAGAGGCTGTAGTGGCTTAATAGTGCAGGAATCAAGATACAAAATCAAACTCTCATTCTTTTCTCAATCCACGTATCTTGTTTGGACAACCATGGGAGATTGATTGGGAGTACGGTACAACCACAATTCATTGTAGTCATCCATACAATGAACAAAAATTACACTTCTCAGATTACACATATTGGTGAAGGATGAAGAAGGAAGTCATCCATTTAAAGTCACACCACATCACTTAGAGGGGGAGTCTGAAAGACTTAAACAGAGTGCAGAGATTGTACAAGCCAACACCGTTGATTGTTTACTAGCTATGAAGAAGGTTTAAAAATCTTTGACATTCTTTTGCTTCACAAATTCTCGTTTACCCATATTAGTAATGTACGACATATCTAAGAATATATCGTATTGTTTTCATATGCCCATCGATTTACTTCCCATTTATGGAATTGAGCATCGTATTTTCATCATTCCCAGTGAAGAGATTCCTAAACGTCAAACTTCCTGAAGTGATCTTGACCAAATGCATGGATCGAGGACGAGTCCTCTTAAGAATAGGGACGATGATGGGGACCAGAATGAGTCGATTTTGCTAATTCTATATTATATTAGATAGAAGAATTTATTTTAGGGAAATTCTAATCAGGGGAGCCAGAAAATTGTGTGAGGGGGGCAGAGTTTAATTATATACAGTATCAAAATGATGGATAATTATTATGCAATATTTGAGTTAAATGTTTCGATAAATGATAGTTTAATGGGCATTTTCGGTTAATGTATTGATATATAAGTAATGTATTATAATGTTTACACAACTAATGACTGAATAAGGTGTATTATTTTTAAATTTAAGAATATAATCAACACCATACATCAAATTTTGCTTATTTCAAGTTAAGATGGTACTGATTTTTCCAGAAGTCATAACTTTTTACTCGTAATGAGTTACGGGATCCATAATATATCAAATCGAAGGTATTTCAGAGCTCTATATTCCTAAACTTTCAGCTGTGGAGGAGTCTTTGTGGTTGTGTGATCTTGCCGGTGGGAGAGTTTCTTCATCGCTGGATAGGTGTGGTCCCGGCCACATGAAGGGGTAAAGTTTTGTCCCATATTTGCTTTCCTTTGATATTAACCAAGATTAGGGGCAAGATTAGAGTCACTCCTTTAGCCTAGAGTTCTCCTTAATATGAAGCCCTTTTTCCATGGGTAATTGGTCGCGTTTGTTTGCAGCTATTCCTGTCTGACTGGCCGTCTGGCCGGTGATTCAAAGGCTCAAAGCAGTACTGCAGATCAATTATCCAGTGTATTATACCATACAATTCTATGAAAATTAGGTGCCTCAATCTTTCACTAAATGTTGTTAAATTACTTTTAGTTCATCCACCCTTCAAGAAGTCAGTTAGAAAGGGTTAAGGGTCATATTACAAATTAGATACGCACTTGTACCAACTCATAATAGTTGTACCAAAAATCCAAGTATATATAGCAGCAATCTCCAGAACTTCGAAAGGATTTTTGCTCATGGCGAAATACATAGCAGAAAACAGTACAACTTTTGATGCTCCATATACATATATGTTTAAAAAATTAGATCCTTCAATGCAGTCTACCAGACTACCACCCGTAAATCATGAGAGTTGAGAGCAGTTCATAGATCTTGAGCTTGTTTTTGTTTCAAGGTCACCCAAATACGTGTAGCTTTGAGGGTAATTTAGGTGTTGATTTTTATTTATTTACTACCAATGTTCTAAAAGGCGTTAGGCGCTAGTCGGACGCCAGCCCAGCGTCCAGCGCCCAGCACCTAAGCGGCTAGGCGGGTGCCTAGTCGAAGACTAGTCAAAGACATAAAAATTACATTTTTATCTATATTTTTGCAAAATTTTGATAAGTAATATTGTATTTTTGTGTCTACAAAATACATATGTACATACACATTAACATACATGAATGATAGAATTATCACGTTTAATCATATGTAGTATATCATACCTAATCACTTTATTTCATTATGTTTATAAATATAAATAATTAATGATAAAATTTAGGTATATGTACCAACGCATATAGTTTTATCTTAATTTAGAATTTCATTTCTTTAAATTCATTGCTAAAGTTAAAGTACATATATCGCTTAGAAAATTAAAATTAAAAAGTGAAGTAATGTTCAATCAATCAGGACGGCCTAGGCGGCTGATTAGGAGCTCTAGGCTGGCAACTAGGCGCTATAGGCGGCCGACTAATTCACCTAGACGGCAAACCAATTAGTCGGAGTGCCTAGATGAAAATCGGGGCGTCCGACCACCGCCTAGCGTCTAGGAGGGGACTAGTCGGATGCCTAGAACGATTTCTACAACAGAGTTTACTACTACCTCCGTCCCTTTTATATTGGTACGGAACGGGGTGTCACGATTATTAAAAAAATGGGTTTGTGTGGTTGATATTAATTGATAAGGTAAGAATAAAGTAAGAATGATTTAGAATCACACATACTTTACCGAATGTGATATGCCACAATTTTAGTGGGATTTCCCGAAAAGGTAAAATGGGACAATATAAGGGGGACGGAGGGAGTAATATTTAATTTGGTGGCTGTGATTAGTAACTTAGGGGTTGTAAATAGAATCACCCTTTATTTTAAGACATTGGTTGTTTTGAGAATGCCTAATTAGGATGTTTTTACTTGGACTGTAATTTGCTGGTCTGGTCTGGTCTAATCTGGTCTGGTCTGGTCTGGTCTGAACTGGTCTGGTCTGGTCTGGTAAGGTCTGGTTTCTTTGTATTTTTATAACTATCCAAGTCTGGTCTGGTCTGGTGTGGTCTGGTCTGAACTGGTCTGTTCTGGACTGGTCTGGTCTGGTCTGGTCAGGGACAAATTACAGTCCAAGTAAAAACATCCTTATACCCTCGTAATTTCAGAATTATAGCTAGTAAATACTTCGTATATTTGTATGTTTTAACAAAGTAGTTACTTTTTACCAAAAACAAAAAACAAAGTAGTTACTTAAGCGAAGGGTTTTTCTCTCTCTAGGGCATCCTGCCGCTAGAGCTTATCTTTCGGGCGGTGGTCATTTCGGTTGTGGGTTCCGGTGGCTTCGGCCAATTTTCCTGATTCGGTGATTGGCGTTCTCTGGCCTGGGGAGCGACGACGCGGAGTTCGGGTTCGAACTTGTTGCAGGGTTTCTTCTGCTTCACGGCAAGCAGTTTTGGGTAGGGGTGGGTTCGGTTTTGACCTAAAACCAAATATAGAATCAAAGTAAAAAGTTCGGTTCGATTTCGGTTCGGTTTTACACTCCAAAATTTGGAACCACGGTTTAATTGGTTCGGTTTGTTTCGATTCGGTTTCAGGTTTTTCGGTTTTTTACTAAAAAATTATCATTTGATTTAAAATTGATATAATACTTTGAGGGATCAAACATATATTACATAAAGAATGCAAGCACACTACAACAAATAAAATAAAAATGAAAATAAATAAATATGTCATAATTATGAGTATGAGAGAGAGATAAAAGTATATATTATTAATTTACATTGTTTGTGACTAGTTCAAAAAAAGTTCATAAGTATATACGTTATGTGTGATATAGTTGAGATAAATATTTATTGTTTCATCAATACGAATTCTTTAAGTTAAATAAAAATAAAAGTTAATTAATACTAATAACAAGTAAAAACATATTATCAATATAGCTACATTATTACGTGCAATGAATGTGTAAATGAATTCATAAACTAAACTAAACATAACAAACATTATTTCTCTAGCACAAGAAAACCAAAAACTATTAATGATATTAGGATTAGTTGGGATTAATGCTTAACAATGGACAAATAAATTTTATATTTTAACTAGTTCGGTTTGTTCGGTTCGGTTCGATTTTGAAGGGTAAA